AGCAATTACAGTATAGTAGAGTAGTGGGTAGTAAAAGAAATGTATGGCTATACTAAAATAAGTTTATTTAATAGATTAAAATTTCAGCAGTCATCACACATACTTTGCTGATGGGAATGTGAAATAGTGCAGCCACTGTGGAAAACAGTTTGGCAGTTTCTTATAAAACTAAACATGCGCTTACCATATGACCCAGCAGTCATACTCTTGAGTACTTATCCCAGAGAAATGAAAACATGTTCAAACAAAATCTGCACACAAATATTTACAGCAGCTTTATTCATAATACCACCAAACTAGAAACAATCAAAATGTCCTTCAATGGGTGAATAAACTGGTACATCCATTCCATGGAATGTTTATCAAAAAAAAGGAACACACTATTGATACACGTAACAACTTGGATGGATCCCAAGGGAATTACATTGAGTGGAAAAAAAAAAGCCAATTCAAAAGGCTACATAGTGTGTGATTCTGTTTAGGTAGCTATTGTACTGCAGTGATGCAAGATGCAAGACTGAGGGTGGTGGGGGTGGGGGAAACCCAGGACTTCCCTGCACATTTTTTGCAACTTTTTGTGCATCTATAATTATTTCCTTTGAAAAATTTTCTTTTCAGCTTATATTTCAGCTTAAATTTCTTTCACCCAATAAACCCAATACCACCACTTAATTTCACTTTGATTTTAGGGATTCATTTCAGAACTTTAAATTATATCTTAGCACCAATGTTTTAGCACCAGCTTATTCATTTTTCAGAAAATATAAAAATATATATAATGAATTCTCAAGCTACTGAAGAGACTATTTTTAGCAGAAATAAGAAAGCAGAAGCTATCCCAGAGCAGATATTTTTAAATTAATGGTGAATAAAAGAAATGGGGAAATTTATTGGGCTTAATCTAAATAATCAGCCAAAGTTGTACGTGCTGACAGGCACCCAGACAGCAGTCCATTTCTATATACGCCAGCATTTCTTTCTCAATATGCTCTGGCAGTCTCCTCCTTTCAAATGATAAGATTTCTATCTCCTCTTTAGACTTTATAACAAGCCAAGAGAAGCACTAAACCTAGACCCATTCACAAAAGGACCTGTTTACATTCTACTCAAAACTCAGGGTGGTATCTATAATGTGCTAGACCAATAACCCCAGTTGTGGAAATGAGCCACTGTCTTCAGCGCTATTAAAGAGTGAACTCTATTCTGCCTCATTAGATGCAGGACGGCTCCTTCCAGACCTCCACAGCTATCATCAGTATTTACATTCTACGAAACTCTTCCCTGAACCAGCCCAAATCAGGTGTGAAAGGAGGTGTTTCTCTGTGCTCGAAAAAGGAGGAGCGGTTCAACCACTGAAGAATGAACTTTCTTGGTGTTAGTAGACTAAACACATCATCCAATGCAGAAACCTCCTCTCCAACACCTTTACAGAGAAAACATCCCAAGAAGTTTCAATACCTTCAGCGTTTGTGAGCTCATTACTTATCCAGGAAACCTTTCATTTTGGCAAAGTGTTAAAGCTGCGTTTGCCAGTGTTCCTGGAATTCCAGTTCGATGAGAGGTTAGTGCTGTGTTTAAAAACAGACATACTAACCACACTTCTTCATCACAAAATTATCTGTAGACAGATGTGTAAGAAAAATACTGAACACATTGGCAATAACAGTTACTATTGTTTGATGTTTCCTGAAGATGTGGCATTCCTGCACAAGTCCTCCAGGAGGTGGCTTGGGAAACCACCTGATTCCCTGAACTCAGGGATCCACTTGCCTCCCATGGGTCCAATTCTTATTGTGTGGAGCGATAAAGAGTATGACAAGTGAAGTGAGCTCTCTTTTCTTCATTTAAGAACCGAAGGATCTCTGCTTCTGTACATCTACCCCAAAGTCTCATCATACAGGGTTCTTTACCCCAGAAAAAGTGAAATGACAGTTCTACCTAAATGCTCCTACAATGCCCTCTTCCCTTCAACAGAGATAGAAAGGTCAGTTTTCATATTTAACAAAGGCCCTCATATCCATAAAATCAGTGTAGCATTATAATTTTTTTTGTTAACTCAGCAATTACCAAGCATCTTCTATTAGCCAGGTCCAATGAGAGGTGCTAGGGATACAACATTTTAAAACAGAAAACCTTTATTATAATAATGCATAGCTATAGTAATAGCTAACTTTTCTTGAAGGTCACATTCTAGACTGTAGTCTGAGCATCTTTCATTAATTATTTCACTTAATCCTATGTCCGCCCTGTAAAGTTGATACTATTGTCATCCCTGTTTTGCAGAGAAAGTGACAGGAGTTATGTCATTTACCCAAGGTCAGCATGTGGCGGAACTGCAGCCTGAAGCCAGAGCCTGAATTCTCAGATGTCACCATGTTCTTAAGAAGTACACATTCTCATGAGGTTTGATCTGCAGGGCACTAAGAGTTGCCAAATTATTTTATGTATTACATCTTATCTCCCAATAAAAATTTTTACCGATTTAGAGCAGCACTGTCCAGAAGAATTTTCTGCAATAATAGAAATGTTCTCTTTTGTGCTGTCCAAAAGAACAGCCACTAGCCATGTGTGGCCCTTTAGCACTTGAAAGATGGCTAGTGGAATAAAAAATATTTTTAATTAAATTTAATTTAAATTTAAATGGCCACATGTGGCCAGCGAGTATTGTATTGGACAGCACAGATCTAGAGAATAAGAAAATTGTTTTATTTATTCTGATTTCTCTATAAAGACAAGGCTTAGGCAAATCAATAAATGCCGAATTAATGAAATAGAATGAGTGAAGAATCTTTAAGAAGGAATTTCTCTCCCTCTGCTCCCAAAACTGGGGAGCACAAATCTTTATTATACTGGGACTTCCACTGTAATAAAATGTTATAATAAGCATATAATACAGCACGCGATCCTAGAGGAGTTCATGAAGATAATAAAGAGGATCCTGAAATTACACGCAATGTTTTCAAAAGGCTGGCAGAGATTTTATAGTTGATGGTTACTACTTTTAAAATACATATGCAGTTACATCTTTGGCTAATAACAAGATCACCAGTTAATTTGTTTCCTGATAAAACATGGGGTTCGGTCCATAGAGAGAAAAACAAAAGGGGACTCGGTGGGGAAATGATGGAAACAGTCAAGAATTGCAGCTCTTATGAACATTTCCCACAGAAACTACATTCTACCGCAGATCTCGATACATTTTATTAAACAACTGCCAAATTCTCATTAAGTGACTCCATCCTGTCACTATACATCATATACTGTACACAGACACACACACCAATAATCGAGTTTTTCCAAATGTGGGCAACATATGAATAATAATAGGTATATTTTGAAAATAAACTGGGGTTCTAGATCTCTCAGAGACCCCGGAAGCAGCCAAGTCATGGGCTCACGTTTTCTGAACCCAGAGAGGTTCCTCTCCTGCTCCGCGCTGGACCACCACTTTGCTTAAAGGAACTCATTTCAAAGTCTCAGAGATTGTATCACAATTTGTACTGCTATGGAACATGTCTTTTCGTTTGCCTGTTTTTTATTTTTTATTAAACACTGGCCACAGTAAAATTTTTCCCCCCGTGTTAACGTTTCACAAAGGGCCTAACTATCTCCCCCCTCTCCTGCTCCAGTCCCTGGTACAGCATCCCGGATGCGGCCCAATTGCAATCATTAGAGCAACTGGGACTTAGCAAGTGGGCCCTCTAGGCCGATTCTTGGAGGAGACCTAGCTAGGAAGATTTTCATCAGCAGCGGGACAGTGCCTGTGGCTTCCCATCCCCACTTGGGTGCTGTTCCGTCTACGGTCCCATGACCGGCACTGCAAAGTCACTAGGAGGATTTGGCCGCGAGGTTTACCCTTACCCACAGAAAAAAACTCAAGACAGAGCCTGCTGCTGGTCTGATAACGCTGGTGTGTCAGAGGCCACACACAGGCACACTAGATAGCGGCCTCCTATGGGTTGTTGATTCTGCTTTTGCTGTAACAGCCTCTCCTGGAAGTCCGAGCAAAGCAATTAGCAATGGTGGCTTTGGGATTTCAGCTGCAAGTAGTTATGTTACACTATCCTGCAAAATATGGAATAATCGCCCAATTCTGCACTGAGCATATGTAAAATTGGACCTCAGGTTTACATCTTTATGGTTTCAATGTGAAAAATTAAGCTCCTGAAATATAAAGAGCTGATGTCATCGAACCAACAGAACATGGTTTGAGATGTCCAGAGAAACTTATCTGCTTTCAGTTATTTGGTGAGTGTTTTTATGATTTTAAAATCTAAAATCATCTTTCAGTGCTGGTTATGGGACCGTAGAGGGAACAGCACCCCAATGGGGTGGGACGCCCACAGGCACTGCCCCGCTGCTGATGCAAATCTTCCCTGTCAGGTCTTTGCCAAGAGTGGGGCCCAATTGCTACGTCCCTATTTCTGTAATCATTGCAATTTGGCAGCATCCGGGATGCTGTTACTGGGGACGGGAGCAAGAGGGGGAGGAGATGGTGGGCCCCTTTGCGAAACGCAACGCCGGAAAGGACAGAAGGATGAATTTACTGGTCCCGAGCTGGAAGGAAACTCAAGGCTTTAAAGCTTGAGGAGACGCTCCATCTCTGCTCTCAAAGCTTTACTTCTCTCGAAGAGTGGTGGCCACTGTGGGTCAGGGGCAGGGGACGCGGCCCGGATCGAGGTAAGGTTCTCCCAGGCTCCGCCACAAGCGTCGGGCGCCGGGGCAGCAGCGAGCTCGCTCTTGGGAGGCGTCATCACGGGCCGAGGCCTGCGGAGGCCGCGCGCGCAGCTCTCCAGGGCGGAGCCGCGGAGTCCGGGCTGGGATGTGCGGGGGCAGCGGAGGCTGCAGCAGCCAGGGGTGTTGGGGGTGCCCAGGCTCCCAGCTCGGAGGTCGCCGGGGCGAGGGCGATGCCGCAGCTGCGGCCCGAGCCCCCGAGCCCGGCCTCCGAGATCCCCGGCCCCCGCCGCTGCGAAGGGGCGCCTAGCGTGGCGCGGGCCGGGCGGAGCTAGAGGCGGGCGTCTGCATCGTGTCTCGCCATCCACAGCTCCCCGCCTCCGGCCGGCCGGGCCAGTGAGCCTGTGGCAGCGGATGCCCACACCGCGGGCGAAGCTGCAGGGTTGGAGAGGTGCCGCCACACGGCGGGGAGAGGCCTGAGGATACCCCGCGGCGGCCGCCTTCGCCAGCTCCAGACGCCGGTCCCCCGGGGCGCGCGCCTTGGCGCCCCTCCCTCTGGCCCAGCTACTCCTCGGTGTGCCGTTCCCCTCCGAGACCCCCCCTCCTTCCACCCACCCTAGAGGATGCTCTCCGGGGCGCCGAGCAGCAGAGGCCACTATTCCCAGAAATGCATGCGCCGGATCCCCTTCTCCCGGACCGGAGGAGCCGGCGCCCCCGCCCTGTAGGTAGGTGGGTGAGGCGGAGACCTGCCCTTGCCGCCGCCTGCAGCTGATGCTGCAGCTGGGGAGAGGCTGGGGGCAGGGGCCGAGACCCACCAAACTCGCCTCCCGCGGGGGTCGGCGGAGCGCTCGCAGGTGTGCTAATGGCGCTAGGCACAGCCCCGCGGTTCACCTGACCACCTCTTCTGGAGCCCCTGGCGGCCGAGCGATGGCGGAGGAGAGCTTGACCCATCCCCGCCCACCCCCTGGGCTCCGGCGCGGTGCGGGCGGGGGTGGATAAGGCTAATCGGCGTGTGGTTTCATTTGGGGGCTGGAGGGAGACTTGGATTTTCAGCAGCTCAGGTGGAAATATGTCACCGTAGGTTTTCGGCTCCATGAGCAAATGCGTTCTTCCTGATTTAGCCAAATGTGTAGACACGGAAAGTGTTATTTTAGCGGCGTGTAGAAGTCGCTGTGGATTTTTGTGGATTTCAGAGCTGGCTGGCTGGTATGTAAAACTGATGACTCAAAGCCTTACAGGCAACATTTTAAGGCCAGTTAGAGTCCTATAAGTCAAATCATGCCAGAGATACGTGAAGCTGGGGTCTTGCCGTGTTGCCTATTTGGGAGCCTCCTGCTTAGGTGAAGGGACGTGTTTATGAGTGGCAAGTTTGATATCGGTGTCGCGAGTTGAGAATCTGCTGGACAGATGCACCGAGTCGGCCAGCAGAGGCAGCCTTGGGCGCAGCTTCGCTTCCAACTAGGTGTTACAGTTTGTATTTTAGAGAAATGGGTTAGGATGTTTTTCTTTCCCCCCCCAAGGGTAAAGTTCATATATCAGAATTTTGGCAAGATTATATTTGAACAGGTTATCATTTTTTATTTTCTATTTCAAACAATGAAGTTTAGAGTTTTGGAAAATAGATCATTGTGGGGTCCAGTTTTCTATTAACTTATTAAGGTTTAGAGCTTTGGCAAACGAACCAGTGTAAACTCCAGGAGGACAGAGCCCTCGTCTTGTTCAACCCTGTAATCCCTACATCTGATAAAAATTGGGTGCTTATGTGTTGAATGAACTATGCTTGAAGTTTTATCTAGACACCGCTCAGTGTTAAAATGCATTTGTCTTGCGGCCTTTGAAGGTTTAACTGGCTTTAAAAATTGCTTTTTTGTGGAAAGTCAAATTTGGTTATCTTAATATCTAAGTTTGAATTTTGACCTTTTAAGGACCATATGTTATCCTTCTCTAATATGTTATTAAATGAGGTATTTCTCCCCTATAATAATAAAGGATACAATTTGTGTTTAAAAGAAAATTCTGTTATTCCAGAGGTAACAGTGATTTGGTTAATAAGTGACATATTGACTTGTTTTAGAGTTGAGTTGTGGTTGATCTAATTACAATGTATTTTATTACAGGGAAAGGTAAAAACAAAGCGTTTAGAAGTCTGTGATTCCTAAATGATTCAAAATATATGATATGGATACACATTTTCAAGCGTATGGGGGTTTTCCTGGGTATATAAGTATATCCCAAGTTTGACAACCAAGGGTGGTTTCACAAATCTGGGGTTTGGAAGATTTCAGTGCCTTTCTGCTTTCAAATTTTATCATGAAAAACATCAAGGACAACTCCATCACATTTTATTGCTTTATTTTTTTACTGTGATATTTCCTGTTTTGATTTTGTTTTTATTATCCTGTTATTGTAAGTTTCAAGAGACAGTATTAACCTCTTTTCAATCACTTTAACAAAATTATCTGGGCGTGATTCAGCATTTCGTTTTTCTTCTTTTTTGTCATTTTAATATCTTTTCACTATCCTCGATGCATATGATGCAAAAGACTGATTTTCACAAAACTATGCTAAACCATCGTTTATTCTGATGGTGAGGAAATAAGACTTACTTCAAAGGTGGTAAGATCCTGGGGAACCAACAGTGAGAGGGCACTTATGAAAAATACGTTATGATTGATTCATTGAAACAAGCAAAAATTCCCACATGAAATAAAGATAATTACACTTTACACATCTTAAATTTGTAATCAAGGATATTGAGCAATCAATTTACTTTGTTCTTCCTTGCTCACTTTAAACTTCTCAAAAGAGCCCTCCCCTGTGTCTATAGTACATTCTTTTTTACTTTGTTGCAGATAGTAAACATTTATTTGTTCATGTGACAAGTAGAAGTTGAGCATTTGAACTGTGCTGGTACACTTGGCTTTGAGATCAGTCAAGTAAGAGCTGCTTCCTGATCTCAGAACGGAAGAGGCATTTTTCTGTGTATGTCCTGCATTTAAATATGCAATACCTCTGCTACTGGATGGCTCCTACCTGGGTCCTGTTGGGTGAGCCCCCAGCACTCCACCTCCACCCGCACCACTGGAATGCAAGTCTAAGCCTGGCTTTATCTTATCTTTCTGTACCTTTCCTAAGGTTTTATTGTCAAACCCTCTATCTCTTCCTTGCTAAATGTTATTTGTTGCCCTTTTTTTATCCTGGTGTAATTTTTTTATCCCAGTCCTTTCTTACCCCAGTCCAAATATTTGTTGTTGTTTGCATCTAATAGGATGTATTCACTACACATATGTTGGAACCAAAATTAGTATGGTTGCAGAAAAAGTATAGAGAAGAAATTTTGTATAACCTAGAATTTCAAATATAGGGAACTGTGGTTGAAGAATAATGGTTGTGTACGAATCTCCCCTCAACGGTGTGTATAGAATGCCTTTGTTTCTGCCCATACAAGAAAATATGCGTTGCCTGCTCATACATTTGATCAGAAGCTTAATTGAGAGAAATAATGTTTCCAAAGGGCTGACAGAACAAAGCCCATGATGACAGCTACACTTTCCAATTCTAGGTGTTAGACTAGGAGTCTAGCCAGATCTTCAGAAACTATATGCTCTGAATCTTTTGTTTTGCATCCTTTGCAACCCCCCCCAACCCCCTCCACCACCCAACCCACACACACCCCTTGTGCTCACACTGAGGGAGATTCTATTAATAGAGTCACAAGGAACCTATGGTTATGTGACTTGAGAAATGTGGTTATTACAATCGTCCCTTCTACAGCTCCTGAAGAGCTATGTAAGAAATTCCTTTCAGTTCTAATTGAACAATTATTATATCTTTTTTTCATCATGCAAAACTAGAATCAGATAATTGATTATATTTCTCTTTCTGATTTGGCAATGAGGAAAGGCATACTCTATAAAAACCTATGACCTTAATATTGATGTTCTAACTATCCCTTTGGTCTTGAGCATCTGTTTTACCTTGTTTTTCTTGATTCTGATTTTTATCTAATTGAATTTTCCCATTTTATTGAATTTATTATTTTAAGCTGACTCATACCCTTTGTGGAACAAAGCAAAATATAAAACATAAAACCAAATAAATGAAAACATTTTCAAAATTGATCTGTGGACACAGTGTGTTTTCGATTAACACGTTAATCAGTTCCATTAAATATGTTTTGAACAAGTATTGCAAGTTTAGTGTATTTGAACTGATAAAGCCAAATGAAAACAATGTTGAATAGTTTTGTAAAACTAAATTATGCCCATGGACAATTATGTCCATTTATCACTAACTTAAAATTGGTAAAACCATTCAATTTTGGCCAATTACTGCTAGAGTACCTGCCTTATATGCTATATTAGGCTGAACAGAAGATTCATTCTATTTAATAATAATAAAAACATTTCTTTTAGCCAATAGGCTAGCCTAAACCAGCTTAACACTAACCACACCTAACCATTGGACATCACGTATGACCTCTTTCACATCAGAAATTTATTTGATTTACTTTTGTTTTAATAAGTCAGATATAGATTCTTCTTTGAGCCTCTCTTATTTACCATAAAATTTAAAAGATTAAACTCCGTGGTTAATTGTCCAGACCTTTTTCATTCTGGTGTTTTGACAACTAACTGTTAAGTTGGTTGAATTTAACCAGATGTAAACTAGTTGTTTACATCTCCATGGAGCCAAGTTCAGTTTTATACATGTATCACCCAGGTCAACAGAGAGATTGGTTTTTCAAAAGGGTCAGTCCTTGGTGCAATCCAGGAGCCTTTGGGGTAAAAACAATCTGAATTCAAAAGTGAAACTTGAAGCGTTAAAGAGTATTTGGGGACAGATGTGCACAAATTTTTCCATAGAGGCATCTCATGCTTATAACCTCCATGTCCTTTTTGAAAACATTAATTTTATAGTAGGTAGTTCCTTCCTGTGATTCAGAAGGTACAGATGGGTATTCAGGGAAAGGATTCCTTCTTATCTTCTTTCCCTCGTTACCTGCTTTTCCTATCCACTGGCAACTAGTATTTTTGGTTAGTGGAGAAGTCTCCAGTGACACTTTATGCATATACAAGCAAAAATGAACATTCAGCCTCTCATCGTAGTCCTCACCATTTCTCTCATTCCCTTTTCTCCATCCTCACTGCCCTTGTCTCCTCAGATGCTGTGGACTGTTGCCTGCATTGTGCGTTCCCCCCACATTTCAGCCACTCTTCTTTCTGTTCAAACCTAAAGGTTTCTCATCCTACACAGGAAGGAGCCCGCCACGAATCTTAGCCCAGTTCCCGGACCCTGAGGAATTCATGTGGTGCCTCCTGCCCCTTCCTGTCATGTATATGGCCCACAGTTGTTCTTAACTCACCCCTCCCACCCCAGCCAAATCATGGACCCTTTAAAATATCTGAAAGTTCATGGTCTCATCACATACCACACGCACCGTTTTGCCTACATGTCCTTGTTTATGGACCCCAAATTAAGAATATTTATTTTAGTCATATAAAAACTGATTGCCACTTCTTGTGCATGCATAGCATATGATTTTCTTCTCCGTGCTGCCCTTCTGGTTGGAACCCTCTGTCCTCCTGTTTTCCTTAGCAAGCTACACTCAGTTTTGGTGTCATTTCTAGGGGCCTTTCTTAGTTGAGATTTCTTAAACTCATGGAGCCTTCCACATGTAATTTAGTGTCCCGAGTCAGCTTCCATACTGGGAACAGGCATTTCT